GCCATTTCTGGTCTTAGGTCTCTTGTTGAGACCTGGAAGGATATACGTGTATACAACAGAAATCGAAGGGAATAATAATAATATTATTAATAATAATAATAATAATAATACATTCAGAAAATCGGAATAAAGCTTCAGAAGACTTCGTTGTTTGGTCCTGCAAATATTCTGTGAAATATTCTGTCTGAGGTCGTATGGAAACGAAAAAAGAAAGAAAAAGTAAAATAAACTGATATAAATAATCAACGATATTATATGTTCCATGTTTAGTGTTCTTTTCTTTCTTTTCAGATTAATTGTTATAAACGATCGAGTGAATAAAGTTTGAATGAGAATCCAACGGAACAATAAATAAAAAAGACAATTCGGAAAATTTTGAATCGTCGTCAACAGAAAATAAAATCCGATTCATTGGTGAATCATATAACAATAGTTTTTCAAGCTGTCTTAACAAACCATTTCGCGTAAAGCGTATATGTTACAAATTGCAGTTTCAGTCCAGGATTTCAGCTAATAATTGCACTGGACAAATTATTTGTTCTAAAACAATAAGAATAAAAAAGGAGTGTTCAGTGAACTTTAAATTTCATATATTCATGAAATAAAATAACTTTTTATAACTATTGCACTCATTAAAATGGTCGGTGTCTATGTGTAGGTTTTCATAGAATACATTCGACACATACTGATTTACAAAGTTTAATTATTTCGTTTTTTTCTCTCTCAATATATCCATAGATAATTAATTAATCTGTTATTAGCAGAATAAAACAAACAAATTTGTCAGTCTAAATGAAAAATGGTATTCCCATCAGAGATATGAATTTTTTCCCCAGCAATATACGGTTGAAAATACAGGAGTCATGTTGAAGTTATTTCAGGATTAAATAGACTTAGTGTTTGTCAAAAAAAAAAAAAATTGTCAAAATATAATTTTCTTCTTCACCCATCTACTTCCAAGATGTCTTCTACTATGGATCCAAATATTTAGCTCCCCCTCCCACTACTCCCTCTTTGAAGGGTTATTTACCTCACCTCCTCGCGAGGCAGGATATGGCACAAGGCCGTTTTTAATGAGGGGTTAAAACCGAGCCCGTGGGCTCGCGCAAAAATTCCTCGTAGACCCCATAAAAATGGGGTCGAGTAGCTGTCTACCACCCCAGACGAAACTCTGGCAATCGGCATAGCTTCGTCTGGGTTCCTCTCTGCCCGAAGGCAGAGAGTTCGACTAGCTTAGCTGGAGACGAATCTCCAACTATTTGCCGAAGCAAGTCTCTCTTTGGAAGGCAGGAAAATAATCAAACTTGTATTATTTTAAAAGATGACATAAAGCAAGATTAATATTTACATGGTCTTTTTTTAAATCAATTAAAAAAATTTCTACAATATACACGTGATCATAAGTAGCACACACGGACCTTTGCATACACACACACACACACACACACACACACACACACACACACACACATATATATATATATATATTACAACACGAAGATAATAAACAATAATTTCAAATTCTCGAAGCCCTCTATATTAAAATCAACCAACCAACACCGAACAAAATTTATGACGAATATAGCAACATCATATTAAAGTGCATATAACATTTAATGCCATTTTACATATCTACCAATTTCCGATCAGCTCCCTTGTTTTGCAAAAAATTCCAGAACTACAATTAATTTTTTTAAAATAATTACAGAGCGCGTTCGTACGTGTTTAAAAATCACCGTCATAACGGAATGCAGATTTTATGGCAGTTACAATAATTTCGTCTTTGTAATTTAACCTGAAGATGACTGTAGAAAAGATCGAAAGTATTTGGGTTAACAAAAATTACGGCGCCTTCCTTGATGAATTTCACCTTAACATCAAGAAATTGATTAAACTGGAAAGGATCAGTATAAAAATAAGTAGGCACAATATATCTATATTATTCAATGAAACATGTTTAATTGAAAATATGCTGCCTAGACATACATACATCTATCTATCTATCTATCTAGATAGATAGATAGATAGATAGATAGATAGATAGATAGATACAATAACTCTTTCCATATTTTATAGCTTAGATTCAAACGTTTAGCAACTGCACTTAGGTGCATATATTCTATTTGGATGAATGTTGAGTACTGACTGACGTCACACAAAAATAGACGATAGTTTTATCGAAACTCCAGACATACCTTCCACATGGCTTGTTTCCATGGGTCAAGGTTAATATTAGGTTTTCTATAATCAAGTAAGCCATTCAAACGACCTTGTTTGCCTGTCCGTCTTGGCTAAATGTAGCTAGACAGGAGCCTGAACTGTAGAGATTTTAATTGCAAGAAAGTTTTCTCTTCAGTTTAAAGCGTAATTTAAAATCATGTTAACAGCCAATGGTACAACGCATAGCATTTGTCATCCTTACCATAAAATTGCTATTACAACTGCAACTTGTTGTTGTAAAATGTTTTCGTTGTGCCAGATTGCATCTTCAATCCTCAAAAAGAGCACAGGTCAACAACATTTATGCTCTACCCCTGATATTGAATCAGAGATATTCATCACAAGTTCACCTGAGAGATGTAAAAGGGATTTCAAAATAGGAAAAGGGATTTTGTTTTTTTATTAAATGCCTCTTTTCGGATTGATAAAATTTGCATTATTGCTAGAAAATTAACAATTTGGGAAGAGTTACAAGGGACGATTGAAAACGGGACTTGGAAATCGGAAAGCTCTCTGGAATAGCGAGAAATTCCTTTCAAAAGCGACTGGAAGATTTTGTTACAAAGAAAGATTGCTGAACCGGTATGTAATATCAGTCACTCTATATAACAGTCAATACTGGACAATCTCATCACAGAAGACGAAGAGACTTGAGTCAGCAGAGACCTGGTTCTATAGATGGACGATGAGAATACAATGGAGTATGTGAACAAGGATAAATTTTGAAGAATTTGACACTCATATATTGAAGACAAGAGGTACAAAGGGAAACAGTGAGTTACTTACCTAATGATATTGGAAGAACAGGAGGAAACGGGATAATGCGGGGATAAAACATTTCTTAAACCTATAAAAGATATGAAGTTGTGGAGAACCATGACTGTCCACGTCTTGAAGAGAGATATCAGAAGAAGAGAAATCATGTGTAAAACCACTTCGCTGCATTTGGCTATTGTAATTTCTTTCTCACAAGCTGATAACGTGTAAGAATTGATACACAAAATCATAGCAAGAAAATATATTGTTATATGGTTCAGTTCTTGATTTGAAGGAAAATGACAGAAAAAGGTAAAATTCTATTCGCATTTAACCAGTCAATTCAGATCTATCTATCTATCTATCTATCTATCTATCTATCTATCTATCTATCTATCTATCACTTACCGAAACAGTACAATTCGTACACATATCGTTCATCATTAAAAAAAACAAACAACCAAAACAGAACTATTAACATGAGACAAAATATAGTAAATAATATCAAACCATTATATAGCATTCATTGAAAGGAAAAATTCAAAATACCTGAAGCTATGATTATACGAAGAAAGAAACAACTCAAAATAAAATATTTTCCGTCACATAAGACGGAATTTTAAAATGTGCATTAATTATTTTAAATGTGTATAAAATGATATGGGATATAACATATTTAATATATTCATTTTCTGGCATGGTAAAGATTTTGTAAATGTTTTATACATGATGTATATTTAAATTTAAAATATAGCGTTCCCAATGTAGCGAACAAAACTTTGTCTACAATACTGGCAACATTCAATTCTTGATAATGACCGAAATTACTCGAACAAAAGCAGAAAAAAACATGAACGTTACATAGTTTATTCATCATTTTTATTCAGACGTGCAACAAGTTATTCAAAAATTGGAAAAATACAATAACAATTTAACAGACCTTGTTGATCGAATTTAACAAATGTTGTCTAAATGAATTGTTACTTCCTATATATATATATATATATATATATATATGATTGATGTGAGTAAAATTTTCAACATTCCGACTCCAGAGTTTCGTAGACGATCCTGTTGATTCACTCTTCAGGGGTTATCAGCAATTTACTGCTTACATTCTTTCGATATTTTCCTTTTTATGTACATTTAACACTGGTGTAAGTTTCTGTGTTCTCTGAGTTTGTGTGTGCGCTTGTCCACGAGCGGTCATGCGCCCGTTTTTGCTTTTTTTGCGTTGTATATATATATATATATATATATATATATATATATATATATATATATATATATATATATATATATATATCTATGATAGGTTAAGAACAAATAGGAAACGTCTATAAATTTAATGTTTCATTTTTAATTTAAGCTACATCAGAAATTAAATATGGAGGAATAAAAAAAATTCTGGTATTTTTTTTTTTATTTCTGTCTTGTTTATTTTTCACTGATTACGTCGACCTCACATGTATTTGTCTTGCCAGATAACGTTCGGGTGTATAATTCTTGTCTATTATAATTCTAGTTGGTTTATGCAGGATTTAGTTGATAAGGTGCATCAATCAGCTAAGTGACAAATTTTACTCACATTAATCCTATATATATATATATATATATATATATATATATATATATGCTCATACTTGGCCATACATTCCCACGTACTTGTAAGTGTAATAAGATCATACGTAATATGTAGAATCATTTCTAGTGGCGGATACTTTAAGACGAGGAAAACTGCATCATTGAAATACAGGACGACAACGTAAATGGAAATAGTTTACATAAGAGTGCTACTTCCTTTTATAAATGTTCTTATTAATTATCTTCGCAATATATATATATATATATATATATATATATATATATAAAGAGAGAGTCACATGCGCATTTGAAACTCTCTTGACGTTCAAATTTTTTCCTGTGATTAGTCTGTTATAAAAGAAAAGAAATTTTAAACACGGAATTTCAATCAACAGAATGTGACTTAATTTCCCCGTATTAAATAAATCAGCGCAAAACAACTAGAAAAAGAAGTTGAGAGAGAGAGAGAGAGAGAGAGAGAGAGAGAGAGAGAGAGAGAGAAAAGCTAGAGTGAGTGAGAAAGACAAAGTGGGCGTGGTGAGAAGGAGGGAGAAGAATGGGAGTAACTCATCACTAAAAGTAATGCATCATGTTTTGTTAATATTACAACTAATGTTAAATAAACTAAAAATAATGTGCAGTTAGCCTAAGAAAAGTTTTCGACTTTACAAGAGATTTGATATCCAACAGTCAGGACCGTCTGAAGAGCATTATGAACCCCTGGGCAAACCATTGTGCTGGAGCCCCTACAACAACCACTCACAGGAATAAATAGTCATTTGTCGATAATATTAAATAAATATCTATTTTATTGTCACCTCAACAAAACTGGTGTTAAAACATTAAAAACATTCTGTACAGCAGCAACTAATAAACATGATAAACATTTGAAAAATACACAAGTTTTGAAAAACAATACTCGGTAAGCCACACAGATTAGATGGCACAGTAAGAAACTGCCACAAACTTTTTATTATAACAAGCATTTCTTTTAAGAGAATTGCTTTATTATTGGCTTAAAGTCAATGGTCTTCAGGAATAGGATGTCATTTTCCGTGCACATGAGTGAAAGCCAAGTTCAAACAATGCTGCTCCATTGTGCTACGAAGCAGATTTTTCATAAGTTTCAGTCTTGAAAAAGAACGTTCTCCTGTACAATTGGTCACCGTCATGCACATGAACACTCTCGGTGCAATTTTAATATTCAGGAATACAAATTTCAAATTGTCCGAAATTATTTTTCTGTAGAGTGCAGGGAGAGTCTCATAATTTTTATCAACAGCCAGTTTTATCCTTGAGATTCTCACATTCATTTAAAAGGTCTTCATAATTCATGTCTTTGTGATACATATTAGTCAGTTGTTTACATTTTTTTCTTTAGTGTGTCAGAAGCAATGCTTTTCAATTCACTGAAAAAAGAAAACAGATTTCTACTGTGACTAAGCCTCGGCACATTTGTCAGTTCAAAGGTTGTGTCCAGAATAGGGAGGGAAATTTCCACCTTGAACTTTTTGGTTTTACTAAGAAGTACCTTTTTTGATGATCTATCGTATCTATTTAGACTCATCACTGTAATCTGTATCTGCACACATATTCCTGACTTTGAATTCATATTCACTAAATTTGTCTCTAGTTTCGAGAAAATAGGTTTTCATAGACTCAAGAAGATTCCTGGCAACAGCGATGTTCACATCATTTGATTGCAGAACCTTGTCTGTTTTGTTCATTCTTTTTAATATATCATTTCAAAGAATTGGGAGAAAGATTGTTTCCACGTTTGCCATTTTTTTTTTGTTCAACCCGTCTCCCTCTCGCCTTGTATTCACTTGATGTTCATTGTCAGTTGATAGAGAATCCTGTGCATGTTTACTGTCTCACCCCCCCTACACAGAGCATAAACAGCATCAAAATGTGTTGACCATCGTGTGTTAGACGCCTGACCACAAAATCTTTTCCTAGATATGATGTTAATACATTTCCAGCGATGATTAGAACCGTCAAAAAATGAATACAAATGCTGAACAAAGTCAAAGAATTTTACAGTCTGTAGACAACAATGTGCTGACTTTACTCCCACCAAGTGCAAGCTGTTCCAGCACAGGGGACAGAGATAGCAAACTCATTGACTTGATGAATACGTACATGCAATCCATTATATCGTTTGGACATATTTGAGGCATTATCCTATGTCTAACCACGGTAATTTGATAGTGGAATTTTGTTCTCATTAAGAAAATCCACAACAGTGTCTGTTAAATCCTTTGCTACATAAGAAAAGATGAGGATGAACATCAAGAAACGGTTCCACGGGCTTACAGCCTTTAATGTATCGGACAATAAACCTAACCCTAACCTAAAATCGGACATATTTCATCTGTATGTGAGATGTCTGGAGTGGAATCTACACTTATTGAATGATACGTTGACTCTTTTACGTCTTTAAGAATAGTACAAAGAACTTGTTGTTCCATTAATTCAATAAATTCCTCTGAAATATTTTCAGATAATTATGACAGATCCATTTTCCAGGATTTCTATGCATTTTGATATGTTCTTCCAAGAAAGGGTCAAATTCACTCAGAGGCTCTTGTATACCTAAATAGTCGCCATTTTTGCTAACCCAATAATCTGATTTTCTCCACAAAATGGCAGGCCTCTGGAGGCAAGAGAGCGAATTACAGAAACTACACGTGTCAACACTTTATGTCAATATTCCTTCTCTGAGCAATGTTATTCAAATAATAAGTAAATCTTCACTTCCAGTTTCTTGATGTCTTATTAAATATGCAATCATGCACTTTCGATGTTCTTCTCCATTTTCATGTTCTACAATAACATTGTTGTGCTTCCAGTCATTGAAGCCCGATGTAGCAAAGGGAAATTCTTTATTGGACAATAGGTGACATACAAAGCAGTACAAATGACCTTGGGATGGTGAATAGAGTAGTCATTCACGTTTTACATACTCGCCATTCTGCAGTTCACGTTTGAACACAATGTTTGATTGCCTTTATATTCTCTACTCCAACTGTGTGACTTTGAAAGCTTGCTATCATAATTCTGATATCTGACACCACGAATCCAGTAATCTATTGTATTAGTATTATTAATGTTCCATAGTCCCGAATCTGTCTCTTGGATTGCAGACCCCTTTACTATTACAGATTTGCCTATTTCCTTTAATAAAATGCCACTGGCAGCAGCAACAGGAATTGGTGATATGTCAGATGAAACTGGATGATTGGGATCAGGAATGGCTGTTAATGTGGATATCTGAAGGTTTAGTATAAATAGCTGTCTTTGCACCTGTGTTGAGCTACAATGTTAGTTTTTGAACTTCTTCTTCTTCAAAACATTACGTTTCATTTCTGCTGAAAGGTTTATTCACCTGGAAATTTAGTATTTAGTCATACACCAGGATGTTCTGCTTTCATAATGAACACGTCCTCCCTTTAATTGTATGAACCGTATTTATTCTTAATACAAACTCTCTACTGTGTGCTAATTTACAAAACAGCCAGACAAGACCTGGATCTAGGTTAGTGGCATATGTAGGGTGTATGGCACCGATCTAGCCTCATCTATGTATAGGACTACAAGATTACATTCAACACTTTTTTCAATTTGCACAATAAAAAAATGCTTATTCATTCATATATTGACAAACTCAATACCTGGTAATTAGTACTGCATCATAAATTCATAATCTTAAATAACCACTACTTGTCTACCGTACAAGTGTTCAGTGATTGGATCTCAGGTTCAATCTCTAATAATCTATGCATAGTTCTATACCTGGGTTCATATACAATGTATAAATATATCCAATAATCATGTCATTGCTATTAATAGTACTATAGTAGGTTTAATCTTACTTCTGCTTTTTCCATATTTTCATTAATGTTTAAATCAAAATATGTTCCTAGTTGCAATAACTCTGATATTTTAATAAGTGAAATAAGTCCTTTGCCATTTCCCGGTGTCTTCTAGGTCAAAAGTGGACATTCTCCCGCTTTCTTTTTTATTCGAGAACCAACTCAAATGAAATGGATCTTTCTGTTATGACATATGTTTTCACCAATCATAATACGCGTGTCTTGTAGTAATTTCGGTTTTAGTATTTCGTAAAAGAGAGCTTCTGTAACACAAGTCAATTAACATACACAGATTAGCATTGACCCCCTATGCTCGTGGCGTCCCCGGGCAAGTACCCACCCCGGCCTATGCGTTAAGAGGTCTCTGTCAACAGTAAATCTACTAATATTTCTAATATGAATAATAATCATATTTGATAATGGAATGAAGTCCAACTGATATACCAGTAAACGATAGAAAAGAAGAGCGTACAATGGGCGAAACGTCGTGAATATGACAACAAAGATGAGGACAACAGTCCGAACAATGTAAATAGTGTAAATAGGAATCTATCTCTCAAATTGTTGAAGCTTGAATAAGCATGGAATAATAATAATACAACACAAAATGTACGTAACAAAATGTATTGAAACAATGAAAAAAGGTACACAATATTTACAGGTAGTTTTGGTATATTCTTGGGAAGACTGTTCCTGCAGAATGGGTTGACTAAGTCGCAGTCGGGCAGAGTCTCTGGATTCGATCTCTTAATCTTCCGTCGTCTTCCGGTACCAACCCATATTTATATGGTCGGTACTCCACTTATGTAAATTAGGTGTATCATACACAACACAAATAAATCCATCGCACTCCCATGGTAACCTCAAATTCAAGTGTTGGAATTAGCTTTATGAGTGAACAAAGCAGGAATATTAAGAAAAAACTGAATAATAATAATAATAACTATAACATTTGGCCTTCAAAGATACCTAGAAACTACAGAAGACTGGATGATGATCTGAGTCAAAAAACATGAAAGTAGTAAGCGACAATAATAAAGGAAGCCAACAAGTTCAAAATATCGTTTCAAGCGGGTGAAGAAATACAAGTAAGGCATAATACACTGACTGAAGCTGCAAAATACTTAAAAAAAGAAAGCAAAGGCAAATGAAGCCGACCAGATACCGAAACAATGACAACATAAACCGCTTCACGGTCAATACTCTGCTTGTACCAAACAAGATGATGTAGATAAACCCCATACCCATCAGTGCCTACGTAGTGTAGGGATTAAAAGCTAAAACTGAAGGTTTTATTTCTGCTGCACAGGGCCAATGCTTGCTAACTAGAAATTATCAGACACACATACTGAAAAAATATGTTAGTCCAAAATGTAGATTCTATGATAAATATCCAGAAACAATTGACCATTTTGTATTAGGTTGTGTGGTATTAACACCCACTGGATATAAAACATGGCACGACAGAGTGAGCCAATATCTGCACTAGAAAATCTGCAAAACTTACGGAAAAGAAACTGCAAGAAATTGGTATGAACACAACGGCTGCAGAGATAGGACCTGTAACAGTATTACGAGACTTTACAATAGACACAGATAGAACAATCAAAGCTAATCGGCCAGACATTGTGATTAGAGAATCTCAGAGACAAAATGTGCTTCCTTATTGACATGGCAATTCTTGCAGACTTCAATGTATCTTTGAAGAACTATGAAAATACAATGACCTTCTAATCGAAATCTCAGAAATGTGGCGCATGAGGACATTAACAATTCTAGTTGTAGTTGGAGCCCTCGGATTGATTGGAAAAGATTCCAATAGACTCATTGAAGGAATCCTTGGTAGCCCATGCCTTAAAGAAATATAAAAAATTGTACTTACAAGTACAACTCACACCTTACGAAGGGCTTTATTTATGTAAAATATGTGCAATATTTTTTTTCGAAACTGCTCAGTGAAAAATGTCATGATGCCATTTCTGACCTTAGGTCTCTGGTCGGGACACGGAAAGAAATGAGTACACATCAGAAAAACCAAAGGAAATAAAGCAATAATAATAATAATAATAATAATAATAGCCTAACAGTACAATTAAATGAAAAACATCTCTTACTTTCTGGTAAGTAGGAAACCACTTCACGAAGATGAGAAAGAATTTCGAAAGGGAACCAAAAGAAGGAATGATCGACAATAAATCGATCAAAGAAGAATGATGGAAAGCAAAACAATAAAGAAAACTTTATCTATATATCATGGCTAGACCAGAAACAGTTTTATGACATATGATGCCACAATCCTGGATAATAGAATGTCTGAAGATGTTAGTTAAAACTTTCTAGACAAGTAGTGAACTTCATAAAGAAATAAAAAGAACATTGGAAAGTGGGTCTAAACTCAAAAAGACATCAATGAATGGAGAGGCTGAAATTAGAAAGAATTCTCTTCCAAGAAGATTCGCAATCTCCATTATTATTTCACCAGTGCGATGATAACGCTCAACTACCAATGAAGGAAATACAACGAAGGTTAAAGATTCAAAAAGTGAAACGCATTATGAACATCGATGAAATGAACATTTTTGTCAAGAATAAAACAAAAACAAACTTGAAGCTCCACACAATGAGAAATATGTAATGCTGGTAATGAACAACGGAAAGAGAAAATAACAGACGAAATTGAATTATTCATCACGACAGTCAAGGAGAATCTGTGTTTGTGTGTGTAGGGGGTGGTATAAAGAAGATAGAGACGAAGGAAAGAAAAAGTAAAGAATACCCTGAAGAACAAGAAAATATTAGAGAGTAAGTTTTACGGCAGAAAATCAATTACATGATTAAATACCTCGGCTGTTACCTCGTGAGTTACCCGGGAATCGAACATATGTGTAACAAGGAAGTTTTGGAGAAAATGGAAACAAAAAGGAAACTGATACTTAACATCAGGAAGAGAAAGTTGGTGTTTCTGAGGCATATAATTAGGAAGGAGGGCTTGGAAAATCTGATACTCACGGGACTGATAAAGAGCAAGAGGAAAACAACGAATAATATAGTGAGTTTGAGTAAATGGATGGCGGAACAGGTTTAGGAGAAATAACAGAAAGAAAAAGTTTATTAAGAGCTACGAGAGACCGGAAGTTGTGGAGAACCATGATCGCCTACGACACAGCAGAGTAAGAAAACTCGGGACCATTTTTGATTTAGGTAAGTGATGAGAGGAGTTCAGAAGTGATGATGGTGTGAGAGACTATGCCGGCAGGCTGTTAAAAATTTAGGAGGAGGAATAGATGTTGTCGGCATTGAGGATTATGCCGATTCCACAATCAATGGAATCGAAGATTACACAAGACAGAACCAGAATGATTATTCTCAACAGCTCCAAACTGCACTACAACAAAAAGAAGAATGAATAGAAATAAAAAGAAACACAAGAAACAACAACAAAAAAAAATGATGACAAAAATAATTCTATACATACTTCAGAAGATAAATCGGCGTGAATATATGAACGAAATGTTGTAAGAGAAGCTTAGCTAATCTTAATAGTGACCCAAAACAATGACATAAGACTAAACTAATTAAAGGCTAAAATACAGAAAAGACAAGAAAACAACAAATATAGATTATTTAAACTCAGTAGTTAGCGAATGTAGCATATTGACCCAGAAAGACTACGAGGATAGGCACGGGGGGGGGGGGTAATCCACTGGAAACTGTGCAACTAACTACATTTTGATTATACAGTTATGTGCACAGTTCAAGCTATGTCATACAGAATGAAAGCCATAAAATGGCTGGGGGTTTTAAGATGCAAAAAAGTACCGGCCATAGGATGTAATTTGGTCGTAGTAAAGAAGAAAAAAAAACATGACGGATAATGGATTTTGTTGTTTGGGCAAACATCAGAGTAGACATGAAAGAAAATGGAAAAAATAGATAAGTATTTCGTTCTTGTCAGAGCGCTGAGAAAATTACGGAGAATAAGTGTGACAATCTCACCTATCGTTATCGGAGCGTTGGAAATAGTCACAAAGAACCTGGAGACCCCAAAATAGATTGGAAAAACAAGAAATTACGAGGGTCGGCTGAAAAGTTCATAGTCTGACCAAGATACTCTCATAAAATGTGGCCTTATGCGGTTTATCTTTCAACATAGTCCCCTTTGCGGTCCACACACTTCTTCCATCAATGTTACAGTGCTTGGATCCCATTGGTGAAGAAGCTTTCATCCTGTTTTTCAAAATGTCATCAACAGCAGATATAATGTCATTATCACTGCGATACAACAGTTGTAAAATATTTACCAAAACCGCATTTTTTTTATAATTATCATTATATCAATTACATTAATTACTATTATATTTTGCTTTATTCTATTCTTGTAACGCATGGTTCGTACAGCAGCCAGAATCAATGCTGATAAGTGTTGTAGTCCAGTTACTCTTTGAAATGAGAGCATAGGCATTTGAACAAAACTAGCCTGGAATTTAGCGCTGCTATTTATCAATTCATCATTCACCGGTTGGACAACATTGTCTATTATGTTCAATCTGTTCCTTTTCTACTCATCATTGTGAGCCTGCCATGTAAACAATGTCAACTGTGTATTTATCAAGTATACACTAGTGACGATCTGTTCAGTAGAAAAAAAAAGTTTATTTGTTACATTTAAAACTTGCCTCAATTTTTAATAACATTTGTTTACTGTTTTTTTAATGGTGACGTCATTATAGATGCTCAGAGGTTCTACAAAAATGAACGCAACGGGAAATAAACTCATCAATAACTACAAGAGAATGCTGTTTTTGATTAAATTATAAAGTGTCGAGTGTAGATGCACTTGAAATATTGAGAGATACTTACACCTACTGATGATATTCAGTCACCGCCTCCACGAGAGTGTCATGTGGCACAAGGCCTTTTTAACGTGGGCACTCCGAGCCCGTGGGCTCGGCCAAAAATATGCCCATTGAACCCGTATAAACGGGTTCAGGGCCGGTTCACCTCCTCGAAAGAGACTCCGCCCTTCGGCGTAGCCTCCTTCGGGTTCCTCCCGTCCGTAGGAAGAGAGTTCAACCGAACAGTCGCTCAGAAAGTACTGACTCGACTTACACCTACTGATATATACATTATTTAAGTTTTTACTGATTCAACGAGATGTAATATTTTTAACTGTACTTCATTAATGTCTAGCTTTTTCTTAAAGTGAAGCAAACATAATTTGTTTTCGGATACCAATTAATTGGATTAAACTTGATTAGAGTTTATACCAGTCATGGATTAAGTACTAATTTCTTGAGGAAAACAATGTTTATTAAAAATAAAATGTTTCTCTCGTTCACTCACATTCTCTTAGACATGTAAACACATAAATAATATACAATAGACAATATATGCAATAGACATAAACACATAAACAATATACAATAGACAATATATGCAATATATACAATAGACATAAACACATAAACACCTATATAAAAAATGACAGTGTTTCTTGAATTTTGTAACCTTTCCTTGAAGGTAACGTTTTCAGCATTTTTTTAAAACCATTGGCGATTTTCACTAAGGAAGATCATACGTGCAAATATATTTTGTTTCAAATGCAGGAAACGTTCATAATATTTTTCTAGAGAAGAAAAATATTTTAAAATATTTTAGCATAGTCAAATTAATAAATTAGAAAGAAATCACACGCAGCAGTGTGTGTTAAATGTACTATCGTCAGTAACCATTTTATACCAAGACTTTAAATTTTTAATTATAGAAAAATTAAAAAGAAGTAGTTACGTAAAATAAATGCCTTTTCCATGAATCTAAATATATATAACTATTTGCTAAGCGTAACTTAATTTAGCCCAACGCCACAAGTGAGGCACGCGTAATGAAGATTCAAAACACTGCAGATAGATTACGAGACAAACTTGTTAATTACGAATTCTTGTTGTGACAAATGAATGACATGAGGAAATTGGTTTGGTTTGTTTCACGGCATGTAAACCTTAATGGGTTATTTAACACCGACAAAATTTTTATTTCTGGTAATATTTTTTCTTCAAAAATGTATAGCTGGTAATAAATTTATTTTTTACGAAGTATTTCCGGTATTAAAGCCTATTTTTACACTTTCATAGTGTTTTGACCACAGTTTGGAGATCAACTATTTACCCATAGCTGGGACCCTAACAGATGCTACCACCCTGGGTCAGGGTGGACCTGGGAATACCAGCAATTAAGAAATGGTTCCACGCTCCTCAAAACCTCCTGGTCGGAGGCCTTGCTGTTGGGCGTAGTCTTACCCAGAACGCGAATGTAGTTTATCGTCATAACCAGGACGGGACATGAGGAAAAAACTTATTAGTGACACGTTTCGTTCCGAGAAGGAACTTTTTCAGACAACTGTTTTACTGATATAATCAGTCTTTTTACATATAAAAATATTTGGAAAAACTTGTTGGGGAGGAAATAGAACGAACGCCGGTGATTAAAAGTATAGCGACGCTTAGCATTTTATTCTACACTAGCTGAATTACCTGCGCCTTGCTGCATGACACACATTTTTTATAAGAAAATGATGGTTGGTTTTAAATCATTGTTATGATTTGTGGAGAAAAATGATTTATTTCACTATTACTCAATGATCCTGCCAATGTAACCTCAATCTTCTGGCTTTCTCCTTCTATATTTTGAATAAGAGTCATTCACTTGTTCAAATTTAAATTTAATTTAAATCAAAGGGAAAAAAAAATTCAGTGTGTGTGTGAGTGTGCGGGGGTGTGTCACCCGGGGAACCCTTTGATCAAAATGAAATATACTTATCCAAGTACTCTGGATAATATAGTTTCAGAATATATATGGTTATGGGTGGGTTGGTTATTAGGTGTCTATCTCCAAAACTCTAGGAGAAATTCAATAACAAACAAATAGACAGGCAGAGGCTACAACTTTATTTTAATGTTCCATGTGTATTGATGTTAAATTTCGTCTATTGAATTCAGTTTTTTTTATCAATTTTATTTTTTTTTAACATTATTGTTTTTAATGATGTCACGTTGTATTATTAATAATGTAGTAAGGAAATGAGATATATTGCAAATCTTCTGAAGTAGTTCTTTCTCGGTACGAAATGTGCCACGACTCAGTTTTGCATTATATCATTCAAACACGTGTGCGCCTGCCTGTGTGCGAACAGTATCAATTCACACATACTCATCGATATTAATGGATACACACACATACACACACACACACACGCATGCACAGGCACACGCACACATACAAATACGTGTGCGTGCGTGCGTATGCATTTATGTGCCTGAGTGTGTGTGAACATATGTGATTTCATTTGGATCACAAATGTCTTTCGGCAAAGACAATATATTCATTCTGCATTTACCTCATTACTTTTTCTCTGGCAGACAGAAATTGTCGTCCATTGACATTTTAATTAATGTTGAGTGAAATTGAGTCTATTTTGTCGAAATAAATCTTATGATTCTTTATTTTTGTGGGCAATAAGGAAAATTGCAGAGAAAGACAAAGATGTATTTCTTAAATGTCAAAGACCAACATCTGTATTGATTTTAAAACCTTTATACTTCACAAAAGATGCTAATCTCATTCAAAATGTAATCTAAAATCTAACATTTACAGCTGGGCAGTTATCACTACAAAACTTTATGCGAAAAGAGAAATACCTGGTCGTTGCTAAAATGTAACAAAAAACCTGTTTAAATTGAAGTTTTGAAATATCAATTCTTACTTGAATAGCGAAATTAAA